ATGATGATGCTGGCGATGATGATGATGATGATGATGATGATGATGATGATGATGATGATGATGATGATGATGATGATGATGATGATGATGTCCTTTCTTTAGCAGGATCAGTATGCACCTGATCAGGTCAGCCGAGACATATTTTTCCGTATATTTTTTCCGTTCTTCAATTTTAATTTGAAGTTCTGATTACTAAGTAACAGTTGTGAACCAAAGGTTACGGACAAATTCCCAACCGCCCGACATCATTTTTCCAATCAAAATACGCTGTGAATAGCCTTTCGATATCCTTATCCCCACGAACTCACTACAGTGTTGACAACAATTGCGTCTTTTGATGTGACGCACCCGTCCAGCCTGACATGCCGATAACCGGTTCTTACCGAAAGAATCCAACCCTGCAGAAGCGTAGTTTTATGCCGTGTGTGTGAGCCGAACAGAATCAGAATATGATCCTATCAGGGAGACTGACAAATGTGTTCACATTGAGGCGCACTAGTGTTTCCATCTTTATTTTCTGTTTAAATGAAATCAATCGATTTGAAATGTAAGCTCTTATCAAGGGATCCAATGGCGTTTAGCGAATCAGCGCTTCCTCCAAATGAGAATATCCCATCCGTGATGGACACTCTGACCGTTCCCCTTGAACTGTTCAGCCTGAATTCTTAGAACTCAAGTAAGTACCCGATAATGCATGGTGCTAGCAGCCATTTTGGTCAACAGGCTACTCCAAAGACCCCTGTATGTCACCATACAGGGCCGTGGCAGGAAACTTTGCAGGGTCAATTAGGTCACTGTTATATGGTCATAGGACTATTTGTTGCCTGAGAACATCACAAATGAGAGATTCAGCTGGGCTCTAGGTGGGTCTCTCGAAAAACCAGATTAGTTTGCAACTGAGTGTATTTCGCTAATTTCGGGCAATTTGGTTTCAAGTAGAACATAAGGTTGACAGAAAACCCGGGGACTGCGCCTACCTGATGAGCCCCAAAAAGGGCGAGACCGGTCGTGGGCTGTTGACGAAATTCACCATACAGTTCATCAATAAACACTACAACCAGTGATGCAGTCATTTATTGTCTTATAACGAAAGCAGATATACGTAAGAGTTCGTTATTTCTTTTTGCTTTAGGCCAGTAGCACTTGGTAGCTTCGCTACTGAGACACGTAAGAGTTCATCATTTCTTTTGTCTTTAGGCGAGTAGCACTTGGTAGCTTCGCTACTGAGACTTTTTTCATTTTCCATTAGCGTTCTAGTGACCAATAGCGCTTCACGTTCTGCTTTCTAACCGGATTTCATGAAGTGGTCATTGACAATTCATGTTTATTTAGTGTTGCAGATAGCAGAAATGGATGCAACCCGTTTCGGTTGACCAAAGTGGCAACTGTTAGGGTCACTACTGAGTGGCTGGACAATACATTGATATAGAGTGAATGCAGATTCTAGAGGCATAGCAAATCCATCCAGTTCCTAAAACAAGGCAGAGTTGAACTCAAAACTACAATCGTTAGATCAGCCAAGATATTGAAGTGATGCCAGAGGTCAAGTTTGGAAGTCGCTGTCTAAGTAGGCATGACAAAACACCTTCGGAATGGTTCCAATCCCATATGAGTATCAGCTAGTACGTGTCCATAAGATTGCTTACGCAGAACTTCTACGGCTTACCAAATGATGAGCACACAAGACGAAATTCCAGCAGTGCAACTGAACTGGTCGTTGGATATAACTAGTTCAACTAGTTATCTAGTAAATAAACCTAACGTTATTCCGCTGAAAATGACGAAGATATTACGAACGTTTTTGGTAATGAGGACCATTTCATCGAAAGAATGTGGAAGAACCAGAAGGAGACAACCATGTCACTTAGATGCGAGGAAATAAAAACTGCCCATCCAAATCTGTAAACATTTGTTCGGTATGCCAAGAAACTTGGTGGTGATAAGATGAATAGATTTCAGATTTGATTTCTGACGAAAGCATCCTTTAGCTGAGAACGGTGGATTAGGATGTTTTATTCGAAGACAAATGTACGGAAATTGGCCCAAAAAGGGCTAGTAGCCAAGTTGACCTAGCAGCCAGGAACACCAACCCAGGACTTTTAAGTTCTTAGGCAACTGTAGTGTATCTTTTGACTCAAACATGCATCGTCATCATCATCATCATCAACAACGGATTAGCATCAGGGTGAAACAGGAATGCTTCGCTGACGTACAGTCGTGATTCATTTGAAAGCCATATTGCGAAGAAAAGAATACAAGTGGATGGGAAAGGGACTTAGTGCTAGATTACTAAAGTCATTCCGAGATGCCTACACCCCCAAGACACTCATTCAGGCAAGCTGGATAGAAACTGACAACACGAACGCCATTAACGTTGACTATCAGCCATATCTTGCAGTGTCTCCAACCAGACGCAGTGGGGGTAACGCGATCCCCACCCTGGAAGTCCAGTTGCACCGACAGCACCCAGACTTCCGTAATCTCTTTCACACACTTCTGACAGGTCATCTGTGTGCTTCTGCCACTCTGGATGGGTCACGGAGTACACTGATCTCTTCGGTAAACTATGGTTCGGCATGCGCAATGCATGGCCTAACCAACGCAGCTCTTTGTGCTGGACACATTTTTCGAATGAAGTCCCCGCAGTGCAGCCGAACACTCGTTTTCTAACTGAAGCCAGTCAACATGAGCTATGATTCTGAGGCTCAAACATTGCTGGCTGCTCACTGGAATATCCACCTAGAGAATGAAGGACAGATGTTTGGTTACCCAAAACGTACAAAGCAGGAGGAATTCTCGAGAAATACACTCATTTGCATTTCAATTTGATTTCCACGAAAGACTCAACTGATCTATGATGTTCTGCAACTGAATGTGCTGCACACAGGCCGCCTCATGATTCAATTGGCACAATATTCGAGATATCACAGTATGTTTTCTTGAAAACAGCCCAATTTGGGTTCAAGTAAAACATAAGATTGACGGAAACTAGGGAACTGCGCCTACCTGAGGAGCCCCAAGAAGGGCGAAACCGGTCGTGGGCTGTCGAAGCGTTTTCAGCAACCTTGTGAGTAGTTTCATACAGGAGGGCTTCTGTTTACTGTGAGATTCAGGTTTTTCTTTTTCCCAGTTCGCACTGCATAGGTATAAAACAGGTGTTTCACAGTGTCGAGACCGGCAGTAAAAAATGAACACTTATCATTCCCAGTTATGTTGCAGCACCGACCAACAACGACTAGCGTCTTCGATTTACCTTAACTCGTTCGTTTGACCCGGAACCAAATTTACATAAAAAATTAATGGAAACTGTTTCATGGAACTGACTTGCTTGGTTTTTGTCAGCCAGTGGGACAATGCCGCTTTTCTTTTGACCTTCACCCATGACACCGAGCCTGCTGGCTTTGCTCTCTTCAGCTGGCGTTTTAAGTAGAAATTCCTACTCACTAAGGGCAGTGTGCGGCTAGCTTTTACTACAAGTAAACCTGCTGTCGATACCTGACATCAGGAATATATATCAGGCGAAAGTTACCCATAATTTTACCTATTCGTGTAGTCTTTTCTCCCAAAAGTTTGCTCTTAATGCTAGTAGTTGCTGGCCTCTGAATAAACCACTGAAGTACGGTCACTTTCGTGCTGTTTAACTGACACGTTCTGTTTGTTTTTACGTGTCCTTAGAAGAATGTGATCAGTCACAGAATCTCTCCTTTTCATCTCTTAGACTGACCGGTCCGTTCAATATGAGATGTTGTGTGGAACGAAAACAGGTCACTCGCTTTCGCTTAGTTGTGAACTGCGCGTTCATTTTCGCCGTACCAAATACAGGATCACAAGACAAGTGAACAAATGAATCAAACGGGCATTCGTTACATAGAAGCTTAATTTCCACGATTGATCGATCTGTCCGTTGGCATACATGCAGTCATCAAAAGAGCCAGAGGTCACAACCGACGAGCCGCTTACATTTCACTTAGTTCCATCAGTCGCCAAGTAAAACGCACACATTTCTTATGAACTGGTGAAGCAGTGACGTTAAAAATATGGGTAAACAGTTACAAATCAAAGTCAGGTCCAAAGTAGACGCACACTGAGCATCAGAAAATTCTGTGCACATGATGTTGGCTCACTACGGCAAATGGGGAGCGCCACAATTGTACCTAGTTGTCGGGACAAGGCTTTAGACAAGATTTCACCCTGTAAGTGAAGTTGTCTACGCCAAAAGGTCAAGAGGCACTGAACAGTTGCTTCATCTCTGGTGGGAGTTACCGGCGGCACAAATCATATGAATTTCTAGAATGATATGCTGGCTAGCAGTTGCAAATTAATCCGTCTGGCAGTGGTTAACCACTACTTAGGTGGGATACAGCTTCATTCATCTTTCAACCACACGATTCATATCGGGGGAGTTTTGATGTCATCCAATAGGAATGCAACTCCCTAGAAAGGGAAAACAAAATATTGGTAAACAGTCCTCATTGTGGCATATTCAAGTTTTCTTATTAGATAGAGACAAGTTTAGCCCAAGCTTGATGAATGCCCCGTGTTTACATTTGACTCGAAAGCTAGGGCAAAGATGGATAAAAGGGCACGCAAAAACGAAAGCCAATGAACTGTGTACCTCAGAAATGAATATGTAATTAACCAAGCATTCAATAAACCTTGTATTGATTACTACATAATTAGTTTATTTGGTAACTTATTTGGTCCATCGCCTAAATATAAGAACAACTCTCATTCGTGATTGCTAGTCCCTTTATCTTTGCTACTGACTCGCTTTTACACATAGTGCGTATGTTTTATGTCTCGCGGTCGGAACAGAGTAAGGTAAATCTTCTACCCATTATAAAGCCATAAATAAACATGGCTTACTGTTTTCAGGTCTGGGTCAAAAACAAAATTGCAACAATAACTGTCGTCTAAACGTACAAGTGAAAATTCTGCACGTTTGTCCAGCACGTTGTTCCTACCGAGTTCACCAAATCTGAGTCAATTCCTCTTGAAAAATAACAATGAACTGGACCAAACGCAATTCGAATGAGGCAACTTCCAGCATCAGAATGACAGGCATGACCTAAAGTAATCTCATCGGATAGACTTCTTTCAATAAGAGGCCACTGCCCCAAAGAGTTGATACCAGCACTCCTTGTCAGTTACGATCCTGTTTGAAAGATCTCCTCAGAAGATGCCCCTTTTCCCCTGTGATGTAACTCCTGAAGTATTACTCTAGAATCGTTAGGTCGCATGAATTTTTGGCCGTTCAGCTGCAACATTTATCTCTGGTTTCTTGTGCAAGTATGCCGGAACTACTCTCTCAATCAGGAACAATCCGAATTCGTTCACTCTTGCCACAAAGTAGACTGTCACGAGACCCAAACCGAGCTCAAGGAATTCATGGATCGTGTACGGAAGCTCAAAGAGAGTCCAGTTTCCAAAACCTACCCGACATTGGCTATTCGTCTTCCATCCTGAGTCGATTAATCCCCGTCTAGAGATCGATGTTTCACTATGATGAATACTCTTCAGTCGAGCAAGTATTCCCCTATAGGCCGCATTGCTCAAGTTGAACTCTTCCTGCGGTCGATGTTAACATTTTTAGCGACGACAAGGGGAAAATGCTAGTTGTCGCTGTTCTTCGTTATGGAAGAAAACAAGAGATTTCGAAATGCGTTTTCCAGGCCCCTGAAGGTAGCCATACGCCATTCACCCAAGTCAGGTTTCAGGGTTTATCGCCATCTTTAGCTAGATGATGGAATTAGGATTATGGAAGCAGTGGCCAAAGTTAAGGTCGCCGGGAATACGAACAGGCTGATCTTCGTGCCGTTGATTCTCGAGTTGTGTTACCTCCGATTAGCGTGGAATTCGGCCACCTATAGGCCCATTGAGTCAAGTGACAGGACTAACGACGTTATTTCGCCAATCTGTTATACTGAAAAGGCAAATTGGACGAAATCGCAATAATCCTATGAGAAGTGACCTATGACATTCTGACATTCATTGGAACACTCTTGATCCGGGGATGGAAGCCCCTGGTTGTAGTTGGATATGAATGGACCTCCCTCCTATGAATTAAACTGGACGTAGAGGTCGTTGTCCTACTGGTGTCAGCAATTGAAAGTGACAGAGTCTTAACCGTTGTGGATGACGATGGGATGTGAGGATTTTTTTGCGATTGTCGGGTCCAAGTCTACAGCTTTCGGTGTTGCTTTCCGTGGTTCTGGCTTCGTGGCTGCTTCGTTCTTGAGCGGATTGCTCTGTCTGGACGCCGGAATGATTGTCTCATCCTTAAGAAGTTCATTGCCCATCCTACTCAGTCTAGTACCCTTCTCTTTTTGGCTCATTTTTCGAATAAATTTTGCAGAAAGGAGTCCTTAAGATTAACATGGTTCAAAACGTCACCAAAATTACGCGAGTCTATCCAAAGGATCCGGTGACTCTCTGGGCTCGTTACGTATTCCACGATCCACCGAAGTTGGCCACGTGAGTACATTCTATTTAATCGCGATGATTATCACTTGACTCTAGTTTACTGAAGGATTGGAGAGCGACAATCTATCTGTTTCTCGGGAGAAGATTAACTTTAAAGACCTTGGAGAAAGAGCTCAAGTAACGGACTGAACCATACCAATTCAAAGATATTCCTATGGATGATTTTTTTTCGGAACAAGCCTCCTGAGTTGTGTTACACGTCCATCCGTTCTTTCGCAGATGATTTTGCTGAAAAGACCTTAAACTTGTCATTTGTGAGACGTGAACATTGGTGAAACTCTTGATCGCTTCTGACGGTCCGCCTCTAGGCAGGACTATTCAAGTCTTCGAGTATGTTAAAAAGTTTGTACTGCGTATATGAGAGTACCCAAGCAACATGAATGTCTCATCCAAGCTGTCCCATAATCGTTTGGATGCTCACTTAAACCGTGAAAACAGTTTTGGCTTCAGCAACCCGTGACCTCTACAGAACTACTCTTGTGAACTTACAGAGGATAAATCATTCAAGACCATGGTATATACCTCACAGCTGTTCCAAGAAATAGATCATCACTACGGACCGATCTCTGAAGAGATAGCCTATCCAATTTTGAAAAAAACTTAAACCTCATTTGGAATACCTGTCTGAGAAACTATTCACTGCTCCGTGGACCAAGAGTGGTATCGCGAAGGGTGGGAGTTAGCTCCACACTTTGCGGAGTTTCCCATGTTGGCAACTGGAATTGAAATTCCATACTGGCAATGATAAAACGACGTTGATTGTCACCCATCGAGCTCAGCTGAAAGGGGTCTGGGGGTTATTGTGATGTCTAGTCTGAAATCACGTGCGGACACGCCCAGGGAAGTATCATCGGCTAAAAATCACCTCTAGGTGTTCGTCACTCTTTCTGTCACATCTCGGCAGACACCTCTCGTATTCACCTTTCTTACAGCATGCGACCAGTCCCATAGTAGGGTCATCGCGTTCCACACCCGTTTACCAGAGGGGGGACTGACAGTCTGGAGAAGGTTCAGTGGTGTAGAACTACGCGATTCACTGGATTTTGAGATATCCCAAATGAAGATCGTACGGGGACACTCAGACTTTTTCCGCTGAACTACCGACGTCGCGGGTGATACCTCAAGCACAATCTCCGAAAATTTAAACGAGAGGCCGGAGTAGAGCCCAAAAACTTCTTCACTGTCAAACGCAGTCTCCAGAAGATGACGTAATCTCAAACTTTACAAGCTAAGAGCCCTCTACGGTGAAATCAACACCTCCCCGGGTAACCTGTATGGTCGATGAGTGAAACAAGCTGCCAGGGGAGGTTTCTGATGGCAATTCACATGAATGTTTCAAACAAAAACTGGCTACTCATCTGCTGTGGAACAGAAGTAGACTGGTTGTAATCAACCAAAATCATCGTCACAAAATTCCAGTCTTATTGCTTCTGCTTTGGGAAGCC